AGAGCCCCTGCCTAGAATCCCCCAGTGAGGGGCTGGGGTGTGGCTCAGTGGTAGAGCCCCTGCCTAGAATCCCCCAGTGAGGGGCTGGGGTGTGGCTCAGTGGTAGAGCCCCTGCCTAGAATCCTCCAGTGAGGGGCTGGGGTGTGGCTCAGTGGTAGAGCACTTGCTTAGCATGTGCACAGAAGCGCACTCCTTCTGTCTGCCTGCCTGGCAGCTCTGAGTGGTTCTCCACTCTAGAATCAAACAACACATCCAAGGCCAGCTGTGCCAGGAGACTTTTTTTCCCCACCAATAATTAAAAGTGCTGAAGGTTTAAACAGATACTTCTAGTAACAGGGCTGAATTCTGGTGTCTCTTCTATGTGGGAGCCCTAGAGTATGGTGTGCACAAATGTCACCCGTATGGCTATTGCTGCTACCAATCCTGAGGGTGGGGAAGAAGGTGGTTGAAGATGGGGCTGCTTTGGGAATCGGTGTGGGTATCCAGGGATGAAACTGCCAAGTCTGGAGTCACTAGAGTCCAATGAAGGCAGATGCAGTCAAGTCAGTAAAATTCTAATTCTAGAGTGGTTGAACTTGCAACTTATAGTAAAGAAAACTAAAGCTCAATTTCTGCTTGGCTGTTTCTTTGAGACAGGGTTTTCCTATGTAGCCCAGGCTGGTGTCAAACTCATAATCTTCCTGCCTCGGCCTTCCAAGTACTGATATTTCGTATGTGTGTGCTATCACACAGAGTTTTGTAATTTTTTTTTTTTTTTGAGACAAAGTCTCATGTAGCCCAGACTGGCCTCAAACTCACTATGTAGCTGGGGATGACTTAGAACTTCTGATCCTCCTGCCTCCACCTCCTGTGTGCTGGGATGACAAGTGTGCATTACCATACCTGGTTCTTACAGTGCTGGGGGTAGAACCCAGGGCTTCATCCATAGTAGGCAAGCACTCTACCAACTGAGGCACAGTCCCAGATCTACCTCTTTTTCTTTTAGTTGCTATTATTTTAAAGACAGGGTCTCACGTAGCCCAGGCTTGCCTTGAATTTCATATATAGATGAGGCTGGCCCTGAATGCTTGATCTTCCTGTGTACACTTTCAAGTGCTGGGATGACAGGTATGTGCTATCATGCCTGCCCTGTAACCTCAAAGATTAGTGTCAAAACTGGCTAACAAAGCCCAAGGGAACAGACACAGCAAATACTGCCCATTATTTCTAAGTCACTAATGAATTTTCCATTGCACGGTAGCAAAAATGTATGCCTCAGAGGTGGTGAGATGACTCGATGGGTAAAGTGCTTGCTGTATAGCATGAGGGCCTGAATTCAGATCCCCAGCACCCACAGAAAAGCTGGGCACGGTATATGTACCTATGACCCCAGTGCTGGAGATGGTAAGACAGGAGGATCCCAGGGTTCGCTGACCAGCCAGTCTAGCGAAATCAGCAAAGTCCACGTTCAATGAAAGACCGTCTCAACAAATGATGTAGAGAGTAGGGGAGAAAGATACTTGAAGTCAACCTCTCACCTCCACCTGTGCAAACTGAGTTCTCTTTCTCTCTCTCTCAAACATACTAATGTGTGCCTCCAACTTCCTTGCTCTGAATCAATGGAATCTCTTGATTCTTTGCAACATGATGGTCCTAAGAACTCTGACCTCACTCTAAACCAGAACTTGACCTACCCTGTCGACATGTGTGACTGTTTCTTCTGGAACTCCCTAAAACCAAAAACAAACACAAGACCCCCCAGAACTGCTCAGCCTGCTAGCTGGCAGGCTTTTCAGACAGGACACCCACTTACTGGTTTTCCTTATGCACACTGTTCTGTCCCCCAACTGTTTACATCTCTGCCAACTAAGACCATGCTCAGAAGCACACCTAAAGTCAAACAAAGATATACAGCAGGGCTGGAGAGATGACTCAGGTAGAAACGGGCTTTGGGTCCTAAGTTTGATTCCCCAGAAACCACATTTAAAAAGCAGGGCACAGTGATATATGATTACAATCCTAATCCTTAGGCAGAGGAGACAGGAAGATCCCTGGGGCTTGTAGGCCAGTCAGCCTAGCTGAATCAGCAAGCTCTGGGTTCAGTGAGAGACCCTGTTCCAAAAAAACAAGGTGGAAAGTGGCTAAAGATGCCCAAGGTTGACTTTTGGCCTTCACATACACAACTGCACACACACACACACACACACTGCACAGCACAGCAGGGCAGAACCCTTGGCACATATTTAAAAGACCAACTTGGGCTGCGGGTGTGGCTTCATGGTAAATCGCTTTCCTAGTATTCATAAAGCCCCAGGTTCTATCCCCAGCACTGTAAAAATAAACAAGCAAACAAAATAAAAATAGAGCAATAACTCAGAGAGCGAGCAAATGTTCCCTGCCAGCTAGGTCACCATGCTCAGACACGCACCACTACACATGCCAGCTCCTCAGAGATAGATTTTGAAGTATTGACCCTCACCAATGTTAGTTCACAAATAATAGACTTGACCTATTCAGTGGATGAGCAGGACCCTGCAGGCTGAAACGTTTCCCATGGCTCAGAGACAATCCAGTGTAAAAGAAAACCGTATTCAAAATACACTAAGCAGGGCTGGGGAGATGGCTCAGTGGGTAAGAGCACTTGCTGTGCAAGCAAGAGGATATGAATTAGAATCGCCAGTGCCTATGCAAAAAGCCAGGAGTGGCTACGTGCTCCCATAACCCCTAGTGCTGTGGGGGAAAATATAAGAGGCTCACTGGGGCTTGCTGGCTGACAACCTAGCTCCAGGTTCACTTTGAGAACCTGTTCAAGGGAATAAGGTGGAAAGGGTGATACAGAGGGACACCCCTCCCCCCAAGGTCTCTTCCTCTGGCCCGAGTGCAAATATATTTATATATTTATAGTATATATATATATTTATACTTATATATGTACATTGAGCTGGATCCTGATCAGAAGTGGCTGGGACAAGAACCCTAAGAAGAGACCTGTACCTCAGAGTATTTCTAGAACCAGGTTGCAGGAAGGCTCAGAGGCCCCAGGGAAGCAGAGAGAGTGGTCGCCTGTCAGTGTCCCAAGCCCAGGAATGCATTTAACACCCAATGACTGAACAACTGTTCCTGGCAATCTGGTTTTTTCTTTCAGTGCTGGGGGATGGAACCCAGGGTCTTACTTGAACTAGATAAGCACTCTACCACTGAGCTGCAACCCCAGCCCTTGCATCCTGACTTTACAAGCAGTACACACCTTTCAGGTTTGGGAGATGAAAGTCACGTTCCCTCTCAACAGGATGAGTCACTGTAGGGGCTGAAAATTATTCAGGATGGTATCTGTAATGTGCCCAAACCTTAGCAAGGTGAAGAAGTTATAGAGTGAAGAACTCCAGACCTGGGAATGGCCCCAACTGAAAGCTCTACACTCACATTGCTTGTAAATAAAGTAATGAGACACAGTTCTGCCAGTGAAGCACAATGAAGGAACACCACCAGTGAGAGTCAGAAGCAATTACTGAATAGAAAAAGAAAGTACTGCGGAGGAAGCAATTAAACCTGACTTTCTCTTGGTGCACCATATCTTAAGGTCCTGGGGTGACACTAAGTATAGGCAGGTACTGAAACACCTCAGGGCAGTGTCCTGGAGGTTGAAAGACCAGCTAGAGACCTGTGTTTCCCACCATGTCCTGGGAGTGCTACACTGAGGCCCAGCACTTCCTGCCCCTCCCTGCGTAGCCTCTGCCTCCAGATCTGTCCCTAAGGCATGGACAGCAGCCCCCATACCCAGGGCAGCTCCCTGGACCACACCAGTGACCAGGAGGTGGGGAGCCCATCAGTCAGTCCATCCAGATCCAAGCCAAGGAAGTGACCACTGGGGTCCTGACCCATGGGAGTCAGGGATAGGAGTGTACCTGGGCTTTTTCAGACCAGTAAGAATCAGGAGTGACTACAGGGCCTTCAGGCCAAATGGAATCAGGATGGGGGTAGGTGACAGGGGAGGAGGAGGAGTAGTGGTAGTTCATGCTAGGTGGGGGGTCATGAAGCTGGAGTTTAGGCTGGGTAAGGTATGGGTCAGGGGTGACCCAAGGAGTCCAGATTGGCAGGATAAAGATAAGGGGTGAACTGTGGGTCTCAGATGACTTTAGGCATTTTGGTGTCAGGATTAGGGATGGTCTCAGGACTTTCAGATTGGGCTGGGAGGTGTAGGGGTCAAGAGTGATCCCAGGTGTTAAGACCAGATGGGGTCAGGGGATCCCAGGTAACCCTGGGGATTCAGAACAAAGGGGTGGAGATCAAAAGTAACCAGGAGAGAAGTGGGAGGGGGTGGAAACCAGATGGGGGGTGGGCTGGGGTTGGGTATATGTGTCAGGCAGTAGAGACGATCAGAGTGGACCCCAGTGTTTAGGTCATTAAGGTTTGGGTGACAGGAGGGTTTCAGACTGGGTGGGTTCTGGGTCAGGCCCCATCCGGGGGTCAGGGCCTATTGGGGTTGAGATCATAGTAACTTGGGGGATCAGACCTAGCTGGGTTGAGGTTGGGGCAACCAGAGGATTAGGGGTAGGCTGGGGGTAGGTCAAGATTGCTGGTAACCTAGGAGTCAGGCCTAACTGAATCAGGATTGGGATAACCAGGGGGTCATGGCTGGATAGGGTCCCGGTTGGGGGGGGGCGGTGACCAGGGGGTCAGGCTGAGTAGGGCCGTGATGGGGTAGGGGGGAAGGTAACCAGGGGGTCGGTCGAGGTGAGGTAAGGAGCAGGGGTAACCATGGGGTCAAATCGAGTGAAGTCGAGATGGGGGGGGTAACCAGGGGATTAGGCTGGGTGGGGTCGCGATCAAGGAGTGACCAGAGGATCAGGCCGAGTGGGGGTAGTGACCGGGGGTAACCAGGGGGTCAAACCGAGTGGGGTCACTACCGGGAGACGACCGGGGGGGGGCGTCAGGCCGGGTGAGGTCGCGATCTAAGAGGTGACCAGGGGGTTTGAGGCCAGGGCGGGAGCGGAGTGACCCGGGGCTGGCGCTGCACTCACTGTTGGGGCAGCTGCAGGGCTGGTGCTCCGCGCCTCTGGAAGGCCCCGTCCACGAAGACGCCGTTCTTCCCTAGGCAGCGCAGGTAGAAGTGAGGTTCCTGGAAGCTGAGCTGCAGGTGGCGCCGGGAGATGAAGCTGGACAGGCCCATGCTCAGGTCCACCGAGCCCTGCGATGAGTTGCGACCAATAGTGACGCTGGGCTGGCGCATGAGGAACTCGAACTCGCGGCCCTCCAGGCGCGCCAGGGCCGGCCCGGGGCTGTGGCGCACGGAGGCGGCGGCCGCGGCCACCAAGGCGGGCGCGGTGCTGGTGGCGGTGCTGGTGGCTGCTGGGACCGGGCCGGGGACAGCACTGGGGACCGCGGGCAGCACGGCTGGCCCGGGCTGAGGCTGTGCGGGCGCC